GAGTTTAGTAAGATGGACCAATGGGCTAGAACACACAGACATAAGACTCGTTTATTAACCAAGAGTTCCTTATACCTCGCAAGTTCCAAGTCCTTGAACATCTTTAGGGAGCCTCATAGCTGCTAGATCACCGTAAGTGCAGTTGCGTCTAAACTTGAGGATCGGTGGCACCACAAACTGATGGAAATGCGTCCCTGCAGGAGCCCAGCTCTGCTCCCTCGGTGTTAACCATTTCCCAACGATCCAAGTCTGCGTAGACACATATACATTTAGCCTCCCCAAAGCCATTACATTTACCCAAGAAACGAAAAACCGGTTAGAAATCATTACAGTACCTTGCAGTGTTGGGCAGCATTATACTTAGTCACTTGTACAAGACAGTTCTGGAACTCAACAGGAGCTTCTTTCTGAATCTTTTGGAACCGTTCCACCGATAATGTCAACATCTGTCAATTGTTCCAACAATATGTTAACCTTTGGAGGATTCTAACATTTCTTCAAAACAACAGTAAGTTTAAGGGGATTAGTAAGAGCTTACGAGAACTCTGACTCCGCGGCGACAGAGGTAAAGCGCAATGGCTCTTCCAAGCTTAGAAGTGGCTCCTGTCAAGAAAACCTCTTTCGCATCTTCTGGGATTTCATTGAGAATCACTGCTGCGGTTAATGTGTTCCCATGAACCACACGAACTCTAAGGTTAGGATGCTTGTTCACAAACAGAGTTCCACCGCCATTTAGAGCTTCGTTCTAATCAAAAACCCAAACAACAAAAAACACTCTTTTAGTGAATCACACTCACTCCAAAGTTCCAGACTTTTTTCTTGAGATCCTGATTATGGTACAAACCTTGTTGAGAGCAGCCAAGCTTATGACTTTAACTCCAATCTTATCAGCTGTAAGAATCGCGTTCTCGATATGATCATTAATTCCTTTCTTAGCAAACGGTAAGAAGTACTGCAAAACAAAGAGGACAAAGACTATAAAACCCTCTGTTCTCTCTGTTTTCAATTAGGGCAAAAACTGAATATAAAGAGAGGCATACTTGGAATCCGAATCTGGGAACTCCCCAAGTCTGACAAAGATTGTTCCTGAGTGTATAGAAGCTGAAAAGAAACGTCTTTGACCAAACCCACATGCCAAACATCACCATCAACGTGAACGGCCACATCGGCAACAAGAAGATCCTCGTCGAGTAAGGGATCGAAGCAAACGATCTGAACACGAAAGGCGCGTGCATCGCCGACATAACATCAACTCCATGAGCCAAGAACACAAACTCCGGCACTCTCTTCCTTTCCCCTGCATCAGTTTGGTCGGCAGCAAGGTTTTAAAACAGTAATTTTGAGGTCGACTAAGGGGTAATAATGTCATTTTAGTTTACTACTTTTTTGGTAAACTAGAGGTTTGACTTTGACCATAAATAGAAAAGTCTGTCTTACCCACTTCGGTTACACACTATTATCCTCGTTAATTAGCCTATAAGCTGTTTGGTATTCATGGTTAATGATTCATAAAGTTGTACCAACCAAAACATTCAACTAATAATAATAGCTTGTGTAGTTGTGTGTGTTCTGGTTTTGGGTAGAATTAAATCTGCAAAACTGAAAAGTTTTTATTGTACCAGTTTTTGCTAATTACCTTTACCCAAACGAATCTTCTTTTGGAGTTCCCATGAGTTTGGGTTAAGTGTGTTACCCAAAACATCAAAGAGAGGCATAAATAGACAAAAGTTGGTCCCCATTTCTTGGTGATGCAAACTATGGTACCTGCATTATCTCAACAACAAAATCAAAACTTTAAAATCATTTCATTTTTTGAGCTTATTTGCAGTAAATGATAAAACACAACCCAAATTACTTTGTAAAGACATATTTGTCAGGATATACAAACTAAGCAAATCAGCTTCTTAAGGTAAAAATATGACACGGTCACGTTTGTGTTTCCTAATTCAATGAATAAAGTTAGAGTGCCTTTCTTACCAAAACCAGTGGAGTAAAAATAGATCTAAAACCAAGTCCAAAAATAGCAAAACCAATTGACATGAAAGAAATAAAAAAAAAAAAACTAATGTAGTAAAGAGTAAGTTAACATACGATGGAGTGTAGATAAGATATCGTAAGATTGGAAGAGTTTCAAATAGCTTGTGAGAGAAGATCTCAACGTTACAATGTCCTAAACATCTTAGGAAATCGAACATAATAGCGTATCCGTAGATCAAACTCAATGATCCAACCCCTAACAAGCAAGAACCAATCATAGGAACTCCAGCTACGATACAGAGGATTAGATTCTCCAATAACGTTGCGTTTCCAGCTGAAATACCCAATCAAAAGATGTTAATTACAATCAAACAAGAAGTGATTTTGGTTTGATGGGATCGAGATTAGTTACCGGTCATGGGATGTGGAACAGGAGATAAGTGGTGGTAAGAGTGGAAATGCGTGAAGAAGTAGTTGTTGCGATGGAAAAATCTATGAAGAAAATAGTATAAAGGCTCTGAGAAAGTCACATGTAGAACAATTAATGCAATGAGTCCTTTGGTGTTCCATAGAGGAAGACTGTTCATCATCATCAATGGTGGAGCCATGTAACAGATCATGCTTGCTATTATTGCTTGCAGAAGTATGTAATTGTCCCTGAACACAAGAACCCACATATCAAATTAGTATCTTTCATGGTTTTATATTAAGACAATACCCAAAACAGAGAGAAGAAACATGGGAAATAAAAAAAGCTCTGTTTTTACCAGTGCCATTCGTGATCAATCTGCTTAAAGTCGACACCTTTAGGATTAATCCTTAAAGTTCGAGTCAAGAAAAGCATGTTGTTGTAAGTGCTCCATAAGACATGAACGAATCCTTTGAGTCCACAGATTATGAGAATATGGAGACACCAAAGAGCTCTCGAGTAATCTTCTTCGTAGGAATACGAATAGACTACTTGTGCAGCTAATGGAGCGTAGAGAAGATACTTCACAAATAGAAGAAAGACACAAAACCCATTAGAGATTCAGATGAGCAAACCAAACCCAACAGATCAAAAACTGATTTTTGCCTTTAGAGAAAACACAAACCTTGAGATTGCCAAGGTTTCCCCATGGCCATGTAGATAAAGCAGCAACCA